TTGGGGCTCTCCGCCCCCTGCAGGCGGCGGCGCGGAGGGGAACCGGGGAATCCCGGGCGGATCACCTCGGCACGTGGTCGCGTCCCGGGCCCGACTGGAGACCCCTGTCTGGGGGTGGCCTCACTTTATCAAAAGTTGTGGAACTGGCACGAGGCAAAAATGAAAAGTGAGCTAATAAATCCTACGGCTTCAAACAGCTTGGCTTCTCTTTGGTCTTTCTGGGTACCAGAGGGAAATGTTAATCGGATGGGGGTTGGAGGAGTCGTCCACGGCCAAAATCTTTAAAGAATTTACACGTGGAGCGCTGACTTTCCGCTCTTGTTAACGAAAGATTGTGTTAGGTAGCCTAGCTATAGCAATAATTAAGATGTTCATTGGCAAGAGTTTTGTTTCGAGAGGTTTGAATCCTAATCTGAATCACCAAAGGGCTCTTAAGATGAAAGTAAAATGGCCTGTAAAAATGGTTTTAACTTTTCTAGGCCTTTTAACAAATAATTCCTTTACTGAAGTACTCAGAACAAGATACTTAATTAGCTGTTTTCTTGTTAAGATGAATGGGATTGGGGTTGAAGAAATATGAAGTGGAATGAGTTACTAATATAAACTGACCGAGCCAAGTCTGTCTTGCTGCCTTGTCAGGATTGGCAGTGAAGAGAAGAGGGGACTAAGGTGTAATTCCCTCTTCCCAAATGCTGTCGGAGGAAAAGGAAAAAGAGTAGAAGGCTGTCCGCAAAGAGTCCCTATTTTAGACTGTCACTGGTCTAAATTCTGAAAAGTTAACACTTGAATTTCATCATTTACACTGCCTGCCTGGTTTAAGGAGAGTTGTAAGACAGTGCTGTATTTTGAAAAATACCATGAAAACATCTTTCCAAACTACTATCTGTTCTTGCCATCTTAATATTCCTTATCTTGGGAAGTGAGATTCATTACCTTTGATTGGATAAAGGAAAAATCTAATATGCAGATTAAATTTGTGTAAAACTGGAGGCAAATGAAGTTTTTAAGTCACTTTAGGGGTTTTTGTGTCAAGTTTATTTGGAGCTGCTCTTGTTAAAATACATGGCTCAAGTCAACACTTAAGTAGAAACACATATTTGAGCATATATCTTATAACATGAACAAAACAAATTGTTTGCCTATACTGTGTATAAAATGTGAATGTTGTGAGGAAAAAAGTAGGTTGGGCGGTATATAGTAATATATAACCATCCTTTTTTGTTTGTTTTTTTGGTAGCAGGGATTAAACTCTTTGAAGGCAGGCAGCAGAACCACTGAGCGAAATCCCTGTCCTATATAACCATTCTTTACCAAAAAACCTTAAGAACTTATATTAAGTCCCATTTCAAACTAGTTTGATCTGAGTAAGTGGAATTTAGAAAGTGGAAGCTATTTATTGCTTTACCTCAGTACAGTGACTATTAGAGCACATTGCAGTATTGGACTTGTTAAAAAGAAAGTTACTTCCTTTGGTTTCCAACTGTACCTTTCAACGGTACCTGTTTAGGTAAATTTCTTGCTTTTTTTGGAAGTTGGGTACACTAATTTCTCCTGGAAAAGGGTGCCATTGTATTTTCTGAAGTAAGAAGACCAATAAACAGCTATGGGGTGATTATTTGGGCATTGTTAGAAGGTTTTGTACATGTATTAACACATTTAATGCTCTTGAGGGTAGGTAGCATTGACATTAAAAAAGTTTTTTAGCATTTACATTCTAACAATGAATCTGAGGTTATAACATGGTTAAGCAATCATTCTGGGTTTCAGAACTGAGCACTGGTAACTTGAGATTTTGTAGTTTTTTTTTGTTGTTGTTGTTAGCAGGGCTCTAACTCGGTTGTACTGACTTTTAAAGGATGTTCCATTGACTCGAACTGTTCAGTGTGGAATTAAAAAGCATACTTATTTTGGGTTCCACTGTGCTGTGGTGAAAAGCTGCAGTACTATAATCCTGAGGTTTGCTTCCACCATGCAGTTTATGTATAGTTGATTAATGACTTTTTTTTTTTTTTGGTATTGGGTATTGAACCCAGGACCTCACACTTGCCAGGCAGGTGCTGTGCCACTGAGCTACATCCTGACCCTGATTGACATTTTAGCCTATGTCTCCTATGTGTATATAAGTTATATGCTACATATACATGTAACTTTGGGAGTCTCATGTGGATAAATTATTAATTTTGTTTTTGCCAAACATCAGCCCATTTTGAATATTTGCTTCTCTCCTGTTGGGTTAGGTGATACACCTGATTTGAGAGTCTCAAATAGTCCATTTTGCTTGGGAATATATAATACTGTCAGTTCTAAGTTGACTAATAAGAGACTGTATTGGAGCCAAACAGTAAATGTTTTAAAAGAACAGCAATGACTGTTACACAAATGTTGTTCGAAGTCTTTTTTTTTTTTTTTTTTTTGGTACCACGGGTCAGACTAGGTTCTTGTTGCGGAACCACTGAGCTAAATCCCCCGGCCTATCGAAATCTTTTGAAATGAGATGGTGTCTGTGGTAAAGGGAAATCTGTCTTTGGGAGTTGTTAACTCCTCTGCTTTAAACCATTTTCATTTTTAAGTAATCAGCTCTTTAATTATGAAGTAATTTTCTGTAAAAAAGGAATAATAACTGGATTGTGAATGTAATCTGAACAGACTTATTGGGAAGGTACTCTTATTTTTGGAATGGGGCCTAGGCATTGGTTTTGAAAGTCAGATTGTAAGTAAGTCCCTTTTTTTTTTTTTGGTACTGGGGTTTGAACTCAGGCCCTTGCCACCTGCAAGAGGAAGGTGCCGGAACCACTGAGCTAAATCCCCACACTGTAAGTCCTTTTGTAAAGGATTGTGTTACTAAGCAGGTTCTTAATATTTTATCTGCAGTTCAGTGGAAATCTGAAAATATTCCCTTACAGAGCGGGCTCTCATTAATGTTTTCTTATTGACGGTATGGGGAATTTATTCAGAATAAGGTTTACCAGAATGGTAGTAAATTAATAGGTGTGTAGACATCTTGGTATTACAAGAAGACAAAATCAGTCAGCCATCTCTCTTTTCTCTAATGGAATATTTTTTTCATTTTCAAATATTCTGTTGTGAAGTGCTATACCAGTAATGTATACTGGATACCTTTATATTTTCCCCAGTGTCAGAATATATGGAAAAACAATAAATTAATGAACTACCCAATTTTGTAGGCCTTTTCTGGTGGAGTACTCAGGTTCACTCAGTAGTGAGAGCGGGCAGTCACAGGTCTTTTATTCCAGTTTTAATTATTAGTATTTATGGTCAAGTCATATCACATTTCATGCAATACTACTGTATGTAGGTTAACAGAAAGATTAAGAAACATAACAGATGTGAAAAGTCATAGGTGGCTAGTCAGATTATTTATAAAACCAATTTGGGGGCCGGGGATTTAGCTCAGTGGCACCACACCTGCTTGGCAAGTGCAAAATTCTGAATTTGATTCCCAATACCAAAAAAACAAACAAAAACAAACCCCAGCTTGGGGCTGTGAGCCAAGCACAAGGTGAGTGGTCTTGAGTTTGTACTACAGGTGCTAGTTCAAGTGGACCTCCTTACTCAAGGAGATCTAGCTGAGCTAAAACTGGGGGTCAGAGAGCCGGAGTTTGTTTTGTCATCCTTGTTAGGTTTACCAGGTAGACTGATGAGATAATAGGTCCATTTGGTGCTGCTCCCACCCCAGTGTTGGGTGTCCCTCCTTTTGTGTGATCCAGGTGAGGGGATTGATTGTATCATTTGTTGGTTTGGTGTATCCAATGAGCCACCGGCCTTTTTTTTCTTCTTTTGATATAACTTAGATTCATCATGTGCCCTTGATTTAAATTTGATGTTTTAGATGTCCGTTTTTTACTAGTATGTATCATTATTAGTTTATGCCTCATCATTGTGCTTTACAGCTGGGAGTTGTTCGTGAAGTGTGTGTCCAGCATCTGGCGATTACCTTTTTATACAGACAAGTTGTTACTCCTCATCATTTATTTGCATTCAAAACTGAGCAAAGTGCTGTTTCATAAAATGCAATCACTCAAGACGGATCACACCCTGAGTGCTACGGTTTCATACAACGTGGAGTAACTCACAGCAGAACACAGCGTGTGCTACATATTTCAGCTTTCCCTTCAGGAATGTCAAGAACCAGGTTGTCATTAGGTTTTCTTAAAGCCAGGGGAGCCTTTAGGTTTACATTGATTTTAAGTACTGTCAAGTTTAGGTTTAAATCTTTTGTGCT